CCATCCGTTATAGTGTAACACCAAAATTATTGTCCAAACTGTAATTATTGTTTTCAGATAATATTATAACGCGGCCAAACATCCGGTTTGACATATTATATATTTTTATTATATAGATCTAAAAATCCACTTAAAAATTAGACAATTATTTATTTATTTTTTTATTGGACAATTATTGACCATTTAAAAAACAATGTGCAGTTTCTAAGCAACCTTTTTATTATAAATGATTTTCCCATTGATCAATATCGAGTATATATATATATATATATTTATATATATATACATAAACAATATAGACAACAGCTGTTGGCCATTGTATAGTCTTGATAAACGTTGTTTAAATAATATCATCAAGACTAGTATTTTAATCACTACTCGACACAAAGCTGTATAATATGTATTACAAAGATTGTTCAAAATACGGTCACGACCACTTTCTTCACAAGACGCGCTTCGTCTGCCCAACGAAACATCTTAGTTTATGGTCAAAAAATGTAATTCAAATTTTCAATTTTGTGTGTAACTGGTCACGTTTTTTTCTACTGCAGTAGGAAATTAGCTGTCTATCTGCACGCAATTGTTGGTTGAAATATGTAAATAAACATTAATACTCGGCCGAAAAATTAGTATAAATAAATCTGATGACATAATAGAGAAAAACGCAGTAACTTTTTGAAAAAAAATATATACTGTTTCACATACTATACATTTTGTTGCTAAATCAATGTGTTTATATATATGTATTCTAAATACAAGATGTCGTACACAGTTTAAAGTAAAATATACTTTTATAATATTGTAATTGAAACTAACTTGTACGAAGGGGAAGGGGAGGGGGTTAGACAAGTATAAATAATAATAGCCGATATTATTTGATTCCAATATTTCATTGAAAGAATTGTATTGATATTTTTTCTCATTAATATGTTTGTTGTAAAATTAATGTTATTGACACATATAAATGATCATATTATATTATATTAAATTACAGTATCATATCATATTACATTATATTATATATGTTATATCATATTATATTATATGAAATTATATTATCATCTCATATTATATTATATCATATCACATTATAATATTATACTGTATATAATATTATTATTTTATTTTCGTCACAAGAAACAAATTCGTTTTAAGTAGAGTAGAAGAGTTGTACGCTAAGACGGTAAAAAGAAATTGTATATGTCTGGAGAAAACTGTGCGGTTGTTATTTTGTTTATACTGACTTTTTGGCGGCTTGCCGGATTCGGTTGTTGCACTTGAAACCGTTGCAGTCGACCGTGGACGGCTTGTTCTCGGACGCGGCGCCAAACTGATCCGACAGCAACCCGGCGCCGGCCATGGAAATGATCCCGAATAGGCCGTCGGCCGGTGCCACCACGACCTTGAGGTCGCTGAGGCTGATCCGCACGTTCTCGGTGCCGTTTTGCCGTTGGTCGTACACGACCTCGTCGGCCCCGGCGGCCGCGGCGGTGGCGGCCGCGGTCGTCGCGGCGTCCGCCGTGGACGTCTGCGGGGCCGCCTCGACGACGGCGACGGCAGCGGCGGCCAGGGCGATCAGCAGCATTACGACGTACGTGCACATGTCACAGGTTTTGGCAAAAAAAATAAACGAAAAACGAGCCCTGCAACGACGGCGGATAGCAAAGTTTCTCTGGCGTGGGCCACGGACAGGAGGATGTGACTGGGCAAGGACGAAACACTGTCTGGACGGCCGGACCGCGGTGGCGACGCGGCCGCCGGTCACTTCTTCGGACTCCTACTTCGCGTAAACCGGTCATCGGCCCGCAGAAACCGTTCGTGGGTCATTGACGCGTCACGCACCGGCCGACCGTTATTTATCATTTATCATCGATCATGGACCATCGATCGCCGTACAGGTACTACGTATCATTATATTGACTTCTTGTTGTATAAATATAGAATTTGTCATTTTCGTTGTTCGCTGCCAAACCCACGCGTAAACACTAAACACGTTTATCACAACGTGTATATGACGCAGGTACAAGCCGGATATGCCGCATAATATACCGGGTGATCCATTCGCAAAGTTTTTAGGTTTTTGTTAAATATAAATCGAGGAAATAAACCGAATTGGCGAGTAAACTAATAAACAAAGCTAGTAAATCAGTAAACAAATTGAGTAAACGAGCAAACAAACCTATTAAATGAGTAAATAAATCTAGTTGATAAACCAAATAAACGAGTGAAAAAATCGAGGGAATTAGTAAACAAATTGAACAAACAAATCGAGTAAATGAGTAAATAAATCGAGTTGATAAACCAAAAATAAACGAGTAAACAATTTGAGATAAAAATCGATGAAATAAGTAAATAAATCGAGTTGATAAACGAGTGAGATTTATAAACAAGCGAGCAAACAAATCTATTAAGTTAATGAATCAAATACATGAATGAATAAACCGAGTAAACGAGTGAGTAAATTGAGTAAACAAATCTAGGAAACGATTTAATAAATCTTTGTACGTTTTCTCGGCTCGGCTCTCCAGCGTTAAAACATTATACTTTATACGATATTAATTACTGAATACTATAATTGATTGATATTTACTTTTTCTCAATTAATATTTTCTTCTAATATCCGCTTCTTCTTCTCCAGAGCACTACCGATTTTTTTAATTCCAAACGGGAACGAACAAATAGGTGTAATTGATATATATTTTCAAAACAAGAAGAATTTGCCGGAATTGGACGACAACCAGTTTTTGGATAACTACACGTTTAAACTTACTAAAGCTTAAAGTCCGGAAAGGGGGAGGGAGAGAGGGAGGAAGGGAGGGTGAAAGAAGTATATTTTTTTCTACGAGCAAGCATTACTCAACCACGCTTTACTCGTTTACTCGAATTATAAACTCGGTTTATTCGATACGTTTACTCGATTTGTTTAATAATTTACTCAGATAAGTTTACTCGTTTACTTATTTATTTACTTTTTACTCGTTTACCGGATTTACTTAAAATTTCGTACAAAAACATAAACCAAATTTTTTTTTTCTAAAAAGAATGACGTTACAAAATTTCAATTTTAATTGTTTTCAAAATCAAATAAATGTCCTTTTTTTGCTGATTTTTAAGCCAATCCGTTTTTAAAACGTTATAAAAATATTTAATTTTATAAACGGGAAATTCTGCAGAAAATATAATTTAAATGCGAAATAGCTTCGTTGAAAATTATTCAAACGCAGAAAACAGGCTGTACATTCCACAAAACTGGTATTTTTTTCCAACAACTTTGAATGCTTCTTTTTTTTTGTGTATTTTTAGCATAGCTGCAATTTGTCATTTGCGATAAATAAAGCCCCTTAAAAGTAGTATACTATATTGTAATGAAAGTTGTATTTTCACATTTTCACACGAACAAATAAAATAAAAGAATAGTCGCTTTCTAGACACTATATTATTATTATCATTATTATATGTAGGCAAGTGTGTTGTTTGCAATAACACAAAGAAAAAACACTGACCGTTGTAAACCGACAACAGCGTCTAGACGGCAAATTAGTATTGTAAATCAATTTTAGACAACATTGACAAAATTGAATTTAAAAAAAAAAAACAAATTCTATACAGGTAGGTACAAAAGAAAGGAATAGAGTTATTATGGAGCGTTTGAAATTAAACCGTTCCAACGTTCTGGTGCTAATGGAATTTTTACTGTTGGGTTCTAAAAAGACAGCGAGAACATTTTAACTGTATTGTATCTGCGCCAGGCTTTATTTGAAGAAGAAAAAAATACAACAAGACAGTAATATTGTGCAGTTGAATAATGATAATAATAAAAATGGAACAATTTTAATCAATATACTTACTAATATATTTATTTAGTAGCATATACACAGCGGGTGTCATGTAAAGTCCTACCGAGCTTCAAACGAGACGTTCAGGGTGCTCGTATCTCGTCAGAAAATGGTCTTACGAAAAAAATAATTTCAGATTTGAAATCAGGAGAAAAAATCTTGTTGAATCGATATGTAACATGGTTTTTTTTATATCTGGCCACACATACGTCCACGGGGTGGCCGGCATGTGACTAAAAACCGACAAATGCGACACATAATTCAATATAAAATAATACTAATAACACCGCTGAATTGAAAGTGAAATTCTAACCCAATATGATGTGTCACATGTCATAAGTTGGTTTTGGTCATACGCCGGCCACTCGGTGGCCACCCTGTGGACGCATGTGTGGCCAGATATCAAAAAATCGTCTAACATATCAATTCAACAAGATTTTTTCTCCCGCTTTCAAATCTGAAATTATTTTTTTCTCAAGACCGTTTTCTAACGAGGTACGAGTTCTATTTTAAATTCAAAAAAAAAAAACGAATACCGTTTATTGTACAAACGTGTCAAATATATTATGCTACAATGTATAAGTTTGCTGATTTGTCTGATCTAGTCTTTATGAATCAAATTACCTATTCTGTGTAATTTTTTTTTTTTATCCATTTTAAGGTTTATGCTCGAATCATGACCCGGTTGTGAATGCACATGTTATACACACAACGAATGTGACAAGCGACACACAAGGACAAGAATAGGTTATGTCTCAAACGTGATCATCATGTCTTGGCTCTGCAATTCGGTGTCTTAGATACACACGGAGAAGCACAATTAAATTCTTTGACAAAGTAGGCACACAACATATAATGTAAGTATGTTTTCAACAATGAATTATCATTACATTCACCACTTGGACTGGAATTCAATTCCTTATAATATTTCTGATGCCACCCACAATGCTGGCAGTAATTTTGTCTCCATTATATTTTTTTCTTATTAACATTATCATCAATTGTATCTAGTGTCAATCTCCAAAAAAAAAAAAAAACCTTTCAATAAACAGTATATCATTATAATCATACTGTTCTAGCATAATTATTATTTAAACGTTATATTTACTTACTTTTTGTTACATTTATTTATATTATGGTAATATTTTTTTTTAAAGAAAATCATGTTTGAAAAAAAAATGTTTTGTTGAAAACTGCAATTTAAAAAATATTTGTGGGTTATTCGAATAATGCACAGCTCTGTGCTTGATATATTATATAGTTTTTAATATTATATTAATTTAACACTGAAAACAATATTATATAGAAAAACTAACAAATTGCCATTATTTCTCAACAATATCGAGTGCCATTCGTTAAACGGATCAACCCTTAAACAATATACAAAACAATTAATTATTTAATTAATACCGCAATGGTGTAAAACACAAAGCCAAAGGGTAGTATTGCAGATATTAGGGTAGATACACAAATGGGGTTGAAAAAAGCCGGCACAGGTTTGCAGGAATAATTATTATAAATGAAAATGATACAATAAACTTTTAAAAAAAAAAAACCACTCCTACCGTTATTGGTCATTGCGTAGTTAGGTATTGGTCGTAGATTAAATTTGAATAACGCTAAATCAATTAAAAATAATTAACACTTAAATAGGGCAAGTACACAGATGTGGAGCTTGATGAGAAAATAATTAATTAATTTTAGCTACGTTTACTAAAAAGCTTAGACTTTGACGAAGAAACGACCACACTTTAAAACAGCCATTCATTTTGGAAATTGAAAACTTCTTAAGAATTACTTTTTCTTTAAAACTCATTAAAAGTTCATACGTCCCAAAATGTTCAAATGTCAATACTTGGAAAATCTTTTAAGTGGAAGAGTATTAAATGTGGATATATTTTATTATAACAAGCGAACAACAAAGTAGTACCGAAATGCCGTTTGATATTGTTATAATATCTCGATATTATAAATAAATGGTAATATCAAGATAAAATATAATAATGACAGGATTGTTTGCAGAATGTTACGCTCAAAGTTCAAGCGAAAACAACGGTTTAAAAAAAAAATATGTAACTGCGGTAAAATCCTAAATTTAATGGATTTTGAAAAAAAAAATATGTTTCAACCAATTTGTTATAGAAAAAACATATGAAAATTCTAAAATTGATTTTATTCTTCTTCTTCTTCGGCTTCCTCGCCGTCATCGATATTTCCGTTCTGCATACCTTCTTCGTCTTCTTCGTCGTCGTCGCCGCCGACCTCGGCATTTTCCAATTCGGCTTTCTCCATTTGTCGTACCAAATCGGCTTCGTCGCTGGCCGTGACCACTTTGGGCTAAAACAAAATACGTACAACAATAATGAAAAACAAAGATGTCTATAGGTTTAAGGCATCGCATTTGGCAAACACATACCGGCATTTGAATCTTAAAAACGCCGCCGAGATTTTGAATTGTCTTGTCGATTTCTTCGATGGCCGTTTGCAAAGCTTTTAAACCGTCGGTTTTTTCAGGAGTCGCAGTCGTCATTACTAAACAGACAAATACACAATTTTTAGGTCAACAGAAGCAAAAGCGTAAATTTTCTAATTTCCCTCTGAAATTTTAAACTCGTCCGATAATGCCCCGAAATGTTATCCGACTCAATAGTGGAAAGGTTTTCGGTAAAATGATCAATTAACATAAATAAACGCATACCGTACAACGGAGGAGCGATCAAATTGATTTTAATCGGAAGTTCTTCGGTCGAGCACGCTAGACCGGCTTTCAGTGCAGTTTTCACGGCATCTATTCCTTCGTATCCGTAACACGCAACCTCGATGTCGGCTCTAATTTTCACGGCCTGCGAAGTCAACTTGCGTTTGATATTGTTCAACAATACGTTCTGCGTGTTTTCGTCCAAACCACATTCCGCCAATATCGATGGGTCT